ATGGCAATTGACTGCAAGTGGTGGCAGGTATGGTTCCTGTATTAGGAGCAACTTTTTCAAAGGCAATAAGGTTGTAAGTTCACTGCACACTGCAGCAAGAACTTTGGCAACTTTGTTCCAACTTGCTGCTCCTAACAGGACAGAAACTTTTCCGTGGGCACAGTCAGAGTTTTGTGTGTGAGCGATGACCCCACACAGTTTCACAACAGTTTGTCAAAAGCAACACTTAATCTATTAGTTTGATTTTTTTTTCCACACAAATGTTCCTCCCTTAATGTTATATGAACATAAACACACACAGAAAAAAAGAAATTAAGCACACAAAGTGAAGATTTCCCATTTGAAATGGTAAAAGTCTGCATTTAAACATTAATGGTGGTGGCATGAATCATTTCACCGCTCACGCCACAGACTGGCTTCTACTGGACTCTAAACAGACTTTTACGCTCCATTTGTGTTATTATGACTGTGTTGCTAATTAGGTAACTAATCACTTAAAATTTAGGCAATAAAAACATAACAGATTGGCTCTTTTACTTTGACATAAGAGTCTCTTTATGTTTTTGAGGAAACATTTGCATAAAGACATTTGATTCCTCCAGGATCAAAAGTCTCCATCCAGGAAGCAGGAGGGCTCACCGATGTGTCTGATGAGCATAAGGATGAAGTCAATCATATCCCAGTCACCAGATCTCAACCTGATTAAACATCCATAGATGTGTGACACGGTGTTCTCCACTGCCACCATCCAACCACCACAAGACTTATTTGGGGACCAACGACATTCAATGCCTCCAACTAGAGAATCAAACATCTTGTACTTCTGGCAACACATAGAGGCTCAACACTATACGAAGGCTGTATGTTGGTTCTTCTTATAACTTATTACATGTCAGGCGAAAATCAGCAAATCCCCCATCATTAAGGGCTTTATTGCTCTAAAGCTGTACTGCTTTATATACCATTTCTGCATATTTTCAATATTGTGTGTCAGAAGACAGTAATTCATATACATGGATTATCCAGCCTCATCTGTTAGGATTTCCTTAAAAACACAAACTTCAAATGTAATTTAGCAGTGTGTGGAAGCAGGTGGCAGACACACTACACGTGAGCTTTGCTCCGCCGTGTTGCTTTGACGGGCGAAGTCTTACCAGCAAGCTCAAGAGGGACGAGATCACACATAGTTAGAAAATGTTAGTGGGAGAGGTTGAGCCCTGTTAACTGATATAGAGACGAAACTAGTGTGACAGGTGGTGTCAGGTACATATGAAAAGGCTTCACGCTGACGAGACTTTGGGGAGCCTTCTCGGAAGCTTTGATAAACTGGAGAGCTATCAGGGCGAAGAGAGTCCTCAACATAATGAAACCCTGTAGAGTGAAGCTTCAGCAGGGGCCTGTAGGGGTTCTGACAAAACATTTCCCTCTGAATCTGACAACACTGATCTAGCAGCTGTTCGCCGCAGCTGTTTTGTCACTCTGTACAAATCTCTGCTCTAACATATTTCTCACATCTTGAAAGTCTAGACTTTTTAAGGAACCCGCAGCAGTGGGGCTACCGAACAGTGTAAGTGTATGAAGAAAGTATGTCAAAGGATATTACAATGAAAAGGTGCTTGTGTCCATCACACTGGACTTCATCAGTCAGTATCATCATGGAGGCGTCAGACTGGTTCCAGCTAGTTTACATATTCATTCTGGTAGCAGCGCAATGACAAAATAATTTGAACAAAGTAATGTCGAAAGAAATATTCAGGAACATTGGAGCTGTTTCAAAGGCAAAGTGTGGTCCCAGCAAATACTGATGATTTGATTTTAAATTAGTTTTGATAATGATACTCGATGCTGTGTCTCTATGTGCAGCAGTTACCAGATACTGCTAAGAATGTTTAGCCTAAAAAAGTAATAAAGGACTGAACATAAATAATAGCTCAGGTCTAAAGAGAAGATTGCAAACAGCACCAATGAGTCTCCTGTCTGGCGGAAGCTGGACAGCTGTCTGGTCTGCGAAGCGACAGAGGATCATGTGTTCCTGAAACAAAGACAAAAAACGAGTACAGTTACTGCTCACTTATTGTTACGTGGATGTGGTGCAAGTGATCCGTTCATCACTGCGTTAAGATCAAGTATATCTGAAAATGTCCACACACTGTATAAAAGTTTAACTAATACCATTGTAGCTTATTTGTATCGATTCATCCTTTTTCTGCCTTGCTTACAGCAGTGGGGTCAAAAACATTCTCACTTGAGTATCGCATGGCTTAAAATTTCTGTGTATGCAGCTCTGAGCACACGATGTACTACACAACATGGCACACTATATATTACACAATGGAGGTGATTTGTTTGGGATTTCCAAAGCTGGATAATGATCAGAGTAATATAACATTAAAGTATCTTTGTAAATATATAAATGTGCTTTAAGAAAAATCCAATTATTCTCAAAGTGGCCGCAGTTAAGAAGCGGTACAAACTTTACACTTTGTGAAAGATTTCCCTTGGATGAATTAAAAAAATGTCCTCAAATTGAGCACTTATGTTCATTTGTTCAGATGAATTGATAATATTTTGGCAGTCAACAGTTAATTTTACCGTGACCTCAAGAAGCTTCGACTATAACTCAAACAATCATACACGGCATTTATGATGAAAATGATACATTGTTACGTATGTATGTACCACAGGATAACAGTCAGAACTGATGAAATCTTATATGTAAAAGTTCAAAGGTCAAGTCTGCAATCGCAGCAAACCACCCTGACTGGTTTGCAGAACCATATACCGCAGCCGTGAGGCAGTAATTCTAGTTTCTACCTTATGGTTCATGGAACAAGTGATTCATGAGAGCGTTAAGTCAGCTGAAACTTGCCTCCACTTTAATTGGTTCTATTCTTCACTCTGCGGGGTCGGCGCTGAATGCAAGGCCATGGAACAGGTGCTTAAAGCTCGTGTGAGCACCAATATCTCACACCATTAGGCCTTTATTCCAGTGATACACTATTTCTCATTGTGCTGTCATTCTGTTTAACTACTGTAGTTCGGAAAGAACAACTCTGGTTCTGCTGTAAAACGAGCGAACGCAGCTTTTATTTCTGTGACTCTTGTCTGGGACATTGCCTGGGATGTCTGGTGCGGAGGGGCAAAGAAACAGAAAGCAGTGGGGTTCCCTACCTTGAGCCCAAATAAATAACAAATGCCAAACATGTTTGTCGAAAGGAAAACCAAGGAGGGAGGCCGAGGAGATTTGGAGCTCAGGTTTAAAGTGGAGGATAATATGCCTGCTGGTATAAACAGAATATAGATTTCTCCTGCTGGGTGGCTGCATGCTTAGTGTCTTCCTTATTGTGTGTTTTTT